TTGGAGTAGTTTCCGCCGTCTGTCTTAGTCCATTTGTGTTCTTCCCTACAATTAGTAACCTGTCTAAAAGGAGAAGCAAGAAATGACCTCTTGCACTGCTCGCAGCCCGTGGCTTTTTCGTCCAGATGAAGATTCCGTGTGACTCCTCTGTGCCTTGAGCAGGGTGGTACAGTCTGTACAAGGCCCTGCCTAGGACTCGCTTTCCATTTGTCCTGGTTAAGGTCAGTGTCTGTGCTGTCAAACCAGACTGCTGGGCTGAAACCTTTTTATAGCTGGGGCTCTCCTGGTGCCTCCTGCAGAATCCCTTGCTGCTGTCCCTGGGCCTGAGCCAGGCTTCCTTCCCCGCCGGGGTCCTGCTTTAGGCAGGGGTTTCCTTGGCCAGGATGTTTGGAGCTGGATGCTAATACACAAATTGTTGTTGCTTGGTAACTCGTTCAGCTCTGAGCCAGCGAGTGGTGGGGACAGTGGGAGGCTGACTGGTCTGCAGGAAATGGCAGTGAGCTTCCTTTGCCCTTCCGCTCCCTGTTTGCTGTTCAGATGTCAGAGACATTTGGGATACCTTTATTTTGTTAAGATATTCACATTTGGACTCTGGTGGCCTGGCCAGGTGGTGGATCTGATGTACACGTTAGTGACAGCAGACTCTGAAGGTGCAATGACACCTTTCACAGTGGAGTGACTTCTGGATTTGCCCAGGATTTGTACAACCGAACATGAGAGGGAATGGATGGGTTTTCCATGGGAGGCCCTTGGCTCTGGCAGCTTTGGCCTTGCTGTAGGTTTGTCTGTTCAGACTTTTCCATAGGAAGCAATCTGGCTGCTCTGGGTTGTGTCTTTTAGAGTTATCTTTTTCTGAACATTCTTTGAATTTAGTTGCTTTCACGGCTGATTGTCTTACCTGAATGGTAAATGTAAAGCTCATGGCTATCTTAGTATGAACTTAAGTTCATACTAAGATTTGGAATCTGTGTCTCCCACAATATCTGGAAGTGTTGCATTAAAAAAATCAGCTCAGGTATTTTGGATCATCTTATAACAAATATGTTATTTTGCATATTCACTGGAAGGACAAGAGAACCCACAAAGAACACCTTTGCAAGCAGGTTTTAAAATCGAGGTCAGAACCTTTTTCGAAGCTCTGCTTCCTCTGCTCAGTTTCCTGTGTTGATTCAGGGAAAAAGTTGCCTTCCCTTCTAGCAGCGTAATCCCAAACAGGATGGATGGGGGATTTGACCCCTTATGCTGGTCCAAAACAGAAACTGGGAGGTGCCAAATTCCATTTGTCTGAAAGTCTTCCCTGTTAATTCATATATCTTGCAGTCAGTGAAGTTGGAAAAAAGCACTTTTGATTTTTCTGGGAAGTATCCAAGCAAACATTTTTGGATGCTCCATTTAAAAAGGAATAGTGAGCTCAATTTGCATATGAACTCATTTTCCTGCAATTTCTGTTTCCTCTATGCAAATATGACCATTTTTAGAGCAGCTCATGCAGATGTCTGATTCTCTGTGGAAGTTCAAATAGTTCAGACTAATAGCAGTTCCTTAACTGCAGCATTAACTCCTTAAAGCCAGAACACAAACTGTGCTGAGCTTTTCAAGTAGTGTTTTACAGCTTTCAGCAGGGAAGTGTTCAGTGTGGGATGGTTTTTGTACTATATATTAGTTCTAGTATAGTGTTTAATAGTACCTGGACACACTGTTTTGGTCCTGATTACACAAAGGAAGGACTAAAATACCTTTACTTGTGGCATGGTGACTTTTTTGACACTTTGTTCACTTGATTTCTGTGGGTAGTTCCATTTCCTGCAAAATGAAGTACAAGCTTAAGATTTTTACTTTGGACTGATGACATCCTGTTCTTGTATCACTGGAATGAAACACTTTGGGTTTTATTTTTCTCCCTAATATGGCAAGAGTTAGATTGGTCTAAGGTTCATATAGTCACTATAGGGAGCCCTCAGCTTTCGCCCATGCACCAAAGGCAGTGGTGGGACTTGTAGCACTGGGGAAGGCACAGAAGAGTGTGGGAACGTTCTCTGCTTCACTTCTTCAGGAAAAGATGCAAAAAGCAGAATGTTTATTTTGTATGTAGTATGTTGGAGACACACAGTACTCAGGCACGTGCCTAGCGTTGAGACATGTAGCGTTCTTCTCTGAATAAAGATCTGCTGAAGACACAAACTGTCCTCCGTAAGCTTTTATGTTGATTTTATTACAAGGAGATACTGAAGTTGAAGAATGCAGTAAGTACCTGCAGGTCTGACTGTGAAGTTGCCTAGAAGTAAAGCGCAATAATTTATTGCGCTTGTTTATAGCTGCAGAAAATATGAAACCAGCATTTTCTTTCTGTTTGTTACATATATGTTCGTAGGATGTAGCAGCTTTATGTATTGGCTAAATACCAGTGTTCCAAGTGATGAGCTCAGTGTGTGTGTTTGCTCCTGAGAGGCTCAGTGTGTACACAAATACCACCACACTGCAGTGCATCTCTAATATGCTCCTCTAACTCAGTGCTGTAGAGCTTGAAAACCTTTCCTTAGCTTTTTCTGCTTTTGGCCCTAGTAACATTTAGATATTTCATGACGATTTCTTAAGTTCCTTTGCAATGTGAAATTCATGTCTACTTAGGAAAAACAGTCACTAATTTACTCCTGTATTGCATTTAAATTAACCAACTCTTTTGTTCCATCTCCATTTATGTGTAATCAAGAAAACCAGTTTAATCATGCTTTCCACTGTAAGGCACCAGAGCTTGTAAAGCAAGGAGAGATATATTTTCAGCTATGCATATGGTATGGAGACTTGCTGTAAAATTCTGGGTTTGATGAGTTGCCTCTTGACAGATTCAGTGTGAATATTAAGGGAAGTATAAAGGATTTGGGGAGGTAAGTAATCAGCTTAGAGGACTTTAAGCAGGGATGCTGAAATGCACGTGTAAATTTCTGCTGTGTTTTATCTGTGCCTTGGGTTTGTAAAAGTGGGAATACAAAAGAATATTAGCTCTAGGTCTTGGAAGCAGAACCATCTGCAGCAAAGACTTCCTGAAAAGCTTGTGCCCTGTTTTATTGAAGTGAGACTACTCAGCTCTAGACGTTGTTCTGTCCTGCTGTGTCTTGCCTCTTTCTTTAGCTGTGGCATTCTTGTACCCTACATATATGTCAAAACATGTTATGGGAAGGAGTTGATATTATGTGTGTTCAGAGAGGTGGAAATTAAAAGTTTGAAGATAAAATCATTATTCCCCAGCCATTTTGGGCCATACAGGTTTAATTTCTCAAGTATAATTAGCTAAAGGGACATTCTGTTGTTGAAGGAAAGGGCTCCCTCCTGTTTTATCTGGATTATTCTTTTAAGTGCTCAGGGAAAAAAAACCCGAATTACTGTTTGATATGATCCTTGTACGTAACAATTGCTGCAGTAAAGAAAAGAATGTCCTTATTTGATGGAATCGAGTTGTGTGTATGTGTGGAAGTGGGAGAGTGGCCTGAAGTGGCTATGGCTAGGACTGGACAAACTGATGGAATGAATTGCATGCTTCTGAATAATGTCCTGACGCTGCTACTCTGTGTCTGGCCTCGAACATCTCCTGCTGCATCCTAATGCTTTCTCACTGATCAGGCTCTGTTCACCTTCCTGCAGATGTCTTCTCAGAAGTGCTCTTGGGTCTCCAGCTGCACCAGGGTTTGCCAGTAGAACAGGGCAGTAACAGTTGTAGTTCCTACTTCCGTGTCTGGTGAGAGTGTTATTTAGGCCAACCTCTTAGGCAGTTCTGCCTCACGTGATACCTTGCATGTGAATAGATGCTGTCCATCATACTGATGGATGTGTAGTATTTTTCAGCTAATCTCGGGTGGGATATAGACAGATTTTTCTGTCATTGTACTGAAAAAAGCTAAGGACCTGTATCTGTTGATTTAGTAAATTACTAAACTGAATGGGAGAGTTGTGCAGTAGATATTGGTGCATGAAGAAAGGTTTAATTGACTTAATTCTTTAATTATTTTTAAAGGATGAGATTAGGAAATGTGATTAACTCCCCTTGAGCTCTGTAGTAGTAGCCTTCCACTGTTCTCAGCGGTGCAGGACTTGCACTGGGGATTAACGAGAGTCTTAAGTTTGACAGTGTAGAATGGAAGAATGAACAAGAAAATACTCAACAGTTTTGAGTTTAGTAACAGGATGACACCAATTTGTAACTACCTTGTAAACTCTGCCTCCCTTTTGATCTTGTGTTCTGTGTATGCCTAGAGACATGTACCAAGACACTGCAGGAGTTAAATTCTTAAACCTTCTCATTGTTCCATAACATTTTAAACTTTCTTTTTTCTCCTTCACAGGAAATGACCTAGAGGCCTTACAGATACATTTGTGCATTTTTGTTCTGAGTCTACAATTGAGGGCAAATGCAGTCTGGAAGCACTACTTAATGTTACGACGGAAAAAACTACCTCAACAAACAAGGAAAGAGGAAGAAGACTTGCAATAACAAACACTCTAATTTTTAATAGCTTATACTTGCAAAGTCTTCTGTAAACAGAGTCCAGATTTTTTTTTTCCCTCTGCATTATTAAGAAGAGACACTACAAGTAAACTAAATTGGCAGACTGGATCTGTCAAGACATTTGAAGATATTTGATCTGCTGACATAAGGATTTGCTTTTCCAAGGAAGGAGCCTCTGCACTGCTTTTATAATCGCTGTTGATCGGTGGTTTGCTCCACTATTCCTGGTACTACTAATGGGGAAAATTGTATTAAGGTATTGCTTCTAAAACTATTATTTGCTTTGACAAAAATAGCTTTTGTAGACTTAACAGTAAGAGACAATATTATACTCATGAAGAAATCGTAGGTGATAACTTCTCTGCTCCAGTGTTGCTTTCTGTGTGCAGAGGGGAACACCAAACAAGAGACGGAGCATTATAAGGACATTTGGGCTTGCTTTTTTGAATCCAGTTTGTAACTGCAGCAGGGCTGCACTGAACACTGAAAACACGGAGTCAGCAAATCTGCTGCCTTCCCACTGCTGATACAGATTACACAGATGCTTGCCTTTCTGAAATGCCTTTTGTGAAACCTATGTACACAGTCCTGCACTGTAACTGTACATAACGAGATACGCCAGGAAGGAATTTGACAAGTGATTGTTAATTCAAGAACGCTTAGGACAAGCACTCACTTATGTATTGCTGTAGTGCACAAGAAAGCAAAATGGACTACAAGCGACGCTTTTTGCTTGGCGGGTCCAAGCAGAAAGTGCAGCAACACCAGCAGTACCAAATGCCCGAGCTGGGCAGGACCCTGAGCGCCCCTCTGGCATCGCCCACCCCGACCTCCCCCCTGGCGTCCTCGGCTGCTGCGGGCGGCTGCACCCACCCCGTGTCCCACACGACTCCGATCGCAGACATCCAGCAGGGAATCTCCAAATACCTGGATGCACTCAACGTGTTTTGCCGTACGAGCACTTTCCTCACAGACCTTTTCAGCAGCGTGTTTAGGAACTCGCACTATTCTAAGGCAGCTATGCAACTGAAAGACGTGCAGGAACATGTCATGGAAGCAGCGAGTCGACTCACAGCAGCAATAAAACCAGAAATAGCAAAAATGCTGATGGAACTGAGTGCAGGAGCTGCAAACTTCAAAGATCAAAAAGAGTTCAGCCTACAAGATATTGAGGTAAGTTCGCTTGGGGGATACTGGTTTGCATGTGAATGTGTATCATTCCTTCTTCACCAGACTTGTGTTCTGAGTCCTTTCTGCACCACAAGTATTGTCTGCCTTGCTATGTATTTGTGGGCGATGCTGGTAGAAAAAGAAACTTCATTTCTTATGCCCTAAGAAAGTACCAAGTCATGCGCAGTGCCTGACCTCAGCTATGCTGAGTTAGGTATTTAGTAGGTATTTCTGTAGAAGAACCAACTAGACAAAAATTTGGAACAGTTTTCTTTTTTATGTTAGCTAGTATTTCTAACACTGTTAAGCCATTGTATTCTAAATTAACCTATACTTTCCTTGGTATTATCCATTCTGAGGGGAAGCCTGAACACGTGGGATTGGCATATTGTCATAAGTGTTTGAGTAAAGCTTCATATTAATTGACTAATAATATTTTATCACTCTTTAAAACATTTTTGTCTTCTTGAGCTGTTATGCTTAAGAGGAAAATGGCACACTAGTGTGTGAGGTCTGCTGTAACAATTTGTCCTGACTTTGTTACAACTTTCATACACTGACAGTGAGTGCCCAACAGTCAGGAGGGTTTGGAATTGAGAGGATCCCCAGCTGCATCCTGCCTGGCTGGGTAGGTCTGGGTAATTCTCCTCCAGTTTCGTTATGTAACAGGCAGTGCTAACTGGCAGTCACATATAAATCCCTGGAGTTTCAAATAGTTCCTTGTGTTCTGACGTATTTCTTCACTTTGCAACAGTCTTTGCAAAGTTATTCCTTCAGACCTCCATCCTGAGTGGAAAACGTATTTTTGAGTTCTCTTGGTTTAGATTTCAGATGACTTTCTAGGAATGAATGTTCTGTGCCTGTCAGGCATTATCTGTTCAGTACCTGCACCACATACAGCTGAAGCAGTTAAGTAAAGGGCTATTTGTCAGTCATATTTCTCACTGCAATTACATGTTCAGTGTTGTATGCTTAGTACAGAATGAAGTAAGATGGGCTACATGTTTGTAATAAAAGTTCTGTAGACTGGTATGTTTAAAAACAATCTAGTAACATCACTGTTTAGCTAGGGCTGTAGCAATAGATAAACTCCCATATTTTTCTATATAATTAATTAATTTTCATAATACCTGTGCTGAAAGACTCTTTGAATTAAAAGAAAGCAAAAACATACCAAGCACTACCTGTCTTCTAGGGGCTTTGTGGACTTTGAAACTCTGTCTTTCATGGTGCTGGCTCTATACTGCTTTTATAACCTGGTCAGGCAGTTGCCAGGTGCTAATTCATACCCTGCCCCATGCTGTGGGAGAGTGTGTGTTCAGCAGTGAGCAGAGTTCCTGAGCAGAGCACAGCAGTGTTTGCGTAGATGGATGCATTTCCTGCCAGCTTGAGACAAAGGCAGAGAAACTTGCTTTGGTCCTTGCCTTACCTGTGTAAGCCTAGCCCTTGTTCCTGGGCTCTCTCTTCACTGGCAGCTCTGTGGCAGGAACAGATGTGCAGAGTGCTGCTGGCACAGCAGCTGAGGCATATCTTGAGGTAACTGACCACTTGTCATCCTACGTTTCTTACACCTTTTCTTGATTAAAACTGTGTCTCGCACATGCCTTTAAAAAAGGCAATATGCAAGATTTATGGGAACTTCTGTGAGTGAGGCAAGTGCTGCTTTCTGCTTTAGCCTGAGCACCAGCAAAATGTGGGGGTTTGACACTGACTCAGGTGGTTCTGTAAGTGAACCAGGAAGCATGGTGACTGAAGGATACAGGCAAGCTGGATGGATGGTTGTGCCTGGGAAGCAGTTAGTTAAAATGGACCTTGGCGGAGGTCATTATAGAGAACATATTTAAGTTTGTGGGTAACTTGAAAGTACAGGGCGTAAGTATGCTGGAAGACCTAATGAATTAAAACTAATCCTGAACAATGAATTTCCCAGTTGGGGTGGAATTCAGAGGGGAAAGCTGAATGTTACAGTATTTAAATAGAAATGTTCAGCCTCAGTTGTTGCTATCATGCAAATAAGCAGTTATCAGGTAATTTAACACAACCCCAACCTGCAAGAACCATGAACTAAGCATTCAGCTCTCTTCACTGGTTATTATGGCCTTAAACACAACAGTGCATCTATGCACCATTACTGGTGCACTTGAAGAAACAGGGTGCAACTGGGGACACCAAAGGAGAGTAGCAAGGGTAATCAGACATTCAGGAAATAGGACTTCAGAGGACACATTGAAAAGAAGGACTCTACAGAAGAGGAGACTAAAGGAAAACCAAAATTACCCAGGTATGTGAGAAGCTGCCAGAGCATGTGCCAGTGTCCTGTTCTGCATGTCCATGTAAGGTGGAGCAAAGAGTAATGAACTCAAATTTCAGAAGGAAAAATTCACACTAGATGCTGTGCAAATCCTTTGTAATGTTAGTGGAGCACTGATGTGCATTGCTACAAAGGGTTGGGAGCAGAACTTACAGAACAGGTTAAACCTGCATCTTGCAAAACTGACCCAAGTGAAATTGCTTCTTGCTTGGGACAGTAGGATGACCTGCTGAGAGCCTCTCCTACTCTGCTTTTCTGGACTTTGAATTGAAGACTGAGCTGTTGATGCTGAAATTTTAATTTGGAAAGTGTGGTTTGGTTTTTTTCCCTGATGTATAGAGAAGTTAACTTTTCATAAAAGTGCCAGCAGAATTAAAGTGTTCACAGTGGAAGCAGAAAAATAAAAAGGGCTTGTCTGGCTTCATCAGGCTTTACTGAACAGGGAGATGAAGGGGAAGAGTGTGACAGACAGTGTAATTGCTTCCTTGGAAAATACAAGAAGGGGAATACAGGTGTATCTGAAGCTGCTTTTGCAGCTTCTCTAGTAGATGACTGAAAGAACTTACAGCTCTGTCTGAGAAAGAATTGAGAGATGGTCAAGGTCTGAGTGGCAGCTCAGCAGTGCCCTGTGAAGGGGTACTCCAGGGTCTGTTACCTGAGGAATGGAATCTGGGATTATGGAGGCAGTGGGAGGTGAATTGTGATTCACAGTGGAGTGGGACAGAACCCCAAATTGATGAGAAGGACATGAGAATGAGACTTTCTCTATGCATAAGCCCAGCTAAGGAAAATAGGCTTTCCCTAAGCCTTTCCCAACACGGGCTGTGTGTTTTGGGGAGGAACGAGCAATCCAAACAGAGCAGGTTTGGCTTTAGAAATTGAGCAGAGAGCTGTGGCTTTTCTGAGGCACCACATGTTGTTGTGTGGTGCAGTGGGCTGCAGCCCCCAGGGAAGGCAAGAAAACTGAAGTTTTGATGAACATACCTGACTTGCATTTGGACTAAAAACCAGCTTGTGCAACCTGGACTGTGACACCAGTGAGTGAGGTTTTTAATTTATTTCTTGTCCCTTGCAGAACAAAGCTTGCTAGTTCATAGCTGCCTGCCAGGCTGTGTAAGAAGGTGACTTCTCTTGATCAAAGTGTTGGTGACAGGTAGAGTTTCCCAAGGTTTCTTAATTTCAGAAATGCAAAGGCTGATTTTTATTTTCTTCCTTTCCTTCTCCCCTTTCAAAACCTTTGAATTTGTGGGTATTTTGTGCCTGTATGGGTGAGGAACAGCCTGGAAATCAGGGAACGAGAGGATGTTTTATATTGTTTTCCGTATCTGTGAGCTCAGACAATGCAGTAACACTGTACTTCTGGTTATAAAAGCATTAGAGGAAATCTGGGGGGAGGATCAAAACTGGAAAAAGTTGGTGTATTTCCTCGTCTCTTGTGGAGCTTTGCAGGATCCTCAATACTGCAAAGTATAAAGAATTACTTAGTTACATGAGAGCTTGTGTATTGTCTTAACGGTGGTAGTAATGACAGAGGTGTACGTGTTGTCTTCCCGAATAAAAGGGAAGCATGAATAGGCACAGGATATGTTCTTGGATGCTCTGTTTGGTATTAAATGGAGATAATTTTTGGCTTTTATGTGTATAAAATAACCTAAGATTTTGAACAAGAAGCCTGTGGGGCAGAAGTGTCTCAGTCAATATAAAATGTAGATATTCCTTAGCAAACACTGTAAAACCCAGTTTATTTTTAAAATTATTCTTTCCTGTGATTTGCAGGGATTGGTTTCAGTCTTTTCTGAGGTGAGGAACTGTTAGTAGCAAAATATATTTTGCCTTACATCTTAATTGCTGATTTTAATTTTTTTAAATGCTTCATACTTAAGTGCCTTCTTGCTAAATTATAGTTAGCATTTTAATAGCTGTTGGTATCAGATTATCAGTAGTGGCTTTTAGGTTGTCTCTTAGAAGAAATGAGTCTGCTGAGTTGCCTGTGTGTCCTAATAGCATACATGTGCAGGTAACTCAGTGGGCAGGATTGTGTCTTCCCCTGGAGGTGTCCCATGGATGCGATCACTGTTCCAAACTGCAGTGTATTGCTGTGTGGTAAAAATGAACAGTGCACAGCCCACTTTTAGCAATATACCGGAAAGGTGCTATCTCATAATCTGGGGCACCAGTTGGAGTCATACCTCACTACTAACTTCATTATATTGCTGGTCAAGCCTGGTCTCTCAGTGGGCAGCCAGTTAGCGCTACAGAGTCACTAACGACTCGTTAAGGGACACGGGGAGTAGGAAAGCACTGGATTATTGGGAAAGAGCCCAAAAAAAAAAAGTTCCGCTCCCTAAGATGGTGCTTGGAACTGCAGTGTTTGTATCAAGTGGGGAACACTGACTGTTTGCTAACTTTATTACTGGTAGTGTTCTGTTTGAAGAGTCTTGTACAAGATCTGCTTGCAAGGAAATGTGTATGGCATCACTGTTTAGCAACGAAATCTTGCAGCTTTATGTGTATACTTTGACCAGTGAAATATTCCAAAGTTGACTGTGCCCTGTTAGGGTGACATGGGACAGAGGGACCTAACACTGCATCCCCACCTGATGCTCCTGGTTGTAGGTAACCACTTTGATTAAACTCATCACCTGTTTCAGAGACAAGGAAGTCTGAAGTGAGACCTTCTCAAAAGTCCCATTGCTTCCAGCTATCTAAACAGGAACACAGATTCCTTTAGGTTTTGCCTCTGAGATCACTGTCCTGCCTGGGAATGGGTCAGGGAATTCAAGGTACTGGAGGTGTGTTCGGTGGGACAAAAGGTTTGCAAGCTGAAGACTTCATTGTTTATGCAGTATAAATGGTTCTAAGGAATGATTTAAGAAAACACCACCACTGCCGAGAAGAAATCACTGGTGACACCTGTGATGATTCCAGTTCAGCTTTGATTACTCCATAGCCTCTAGGGTTGATTTGTGTTTGTTTTGGTCTAAAGCAGGAGTGTCAAACACTCCTGCATGGGAAAGTAGGGAGAATAAACTTGAGAAAGAGATGGTGGTGTCTCTGACTGTGGACTGCATCCATATGCTGATACTGTTCCCTGGGTTTTGCAGCAAAAATTCTCTGTCTTGCTTTGCTCCCTGGGTTGTTGCTGGCTAGCCCTGGCTGTGTGAGCGCACTGGCGATGATGTGTCTGTCCTACAGGGAAGACTAAGCTTTTGGAAGAATATCCATGAAGCTGAGCTTTAAAGCTAAGTGAGTTTGGCACCTGCAGGGTGTGTTTAACAGTGCAAAAATCCTCCACCACTGTGATTACATTGAAGCAGTTCAAGCCATCCTTACGCACTTCGGAGGGAGGCTGACATGGATTGTTTTTCAAACCAAAGAGAAGTTCAGATGCAGATGTTACTATTTATCTTCACTGTTTTTATATTGTCAGTTATAGTAGGAATGTTGAGTGCTGCCACTTCAAACCTAAATAATTTGTTTATTTTAAGCATTATTTCCAGGCAGGGGTAACTTCAACCTCTGTACCTTAAATATTATTTGAAACTTATTCAGCCTGAAATTCCTGATGAGTGCTGGTTTCATCTTCCCCTGAGTACTGCATTCTTCCTACACTGAAATACTCGGATCACCAGTTGCCTTTTCCTGCAGTTTTCTTATAAATCTTTCTAATCTTGTAGCCAGGAAAGTTGGAGTTCTCTTCATTTTATAATTTTGAGTGCTTTTTTTAATAAGTCAAACTCCACTGACTCTCAGAGGTCAGTCAAAGTACCAAAAATGTTTAATTTTATGCCTTGTACAAAGAAGGGAAGTGATTGAACCAGAATGGAATGTCAAAAGGAGTCTGGATGCAGTGAAAAAAAAAAAGCATTGCCACCACTGGTTCTTCTGAAGTAGATAGTTAATGCATATAACTGTTCGTGTGACTAGAGAGTCTTGCCAGGAAGATCATTGTGTCTGAATATTTTTGTTCCAGAAGAATGTGGCTGAAAATAAGCCACAGGAGTTACTGGCTCCAAGGCATGATGGCTCTGTACATTGCCTGTGCATTTGATGAATTATTTCTAAAATGGAATTCAAGTTGAATCTTTTTTAATAAAACAAAATCAAATATACATTTTTAAACACTTTGTGTGATAAACTCCATAAAAGAAACACTTTGCATAGCTTTTAAATACTTTGTATGATGATTTGGAAAACACTTGTATCTCTGCTGTTCCCTAGTTACACTTTGCTGTAAACTTTGGTCTGTTCAGGGAGTGTGGCCCTGGGCAGGTGGAGCATTCCTGGTGGTGCTCCTTGTTCTCCAGGATGTCCCTCTGATGGTGCCACTCCTGCCTGTCCTTCCACAGCAGCCTTTGGTGGCTGCACAGAAATCTTCTGACACACCTGTTTTGTTCTGCTTACAGTAACTGGGGCATCTGTTTGTCTTTGGGCACAGTTCTCATGGGCATTGGGATGAGATGGGGATGAAAAAGTACAGGGCACAGAGCTCCAGGTGCAGAGGGGATTCTCTTCCCTGCATGGGGCTGGTGCTGCCTCAGCCCTTTGCCCCCCTGCCCCGCCTTCGCCCTTCCCAGGGAGGGTGACATGGCCCATCTCAGTGTAATACTCCGGAGAGCAGATTTGTGCCAGCGTTGGCAGGCAATGCAGGTGACAGTGCTACAGCTTTGGGCCTGTGTCCTGCAGTCCTCTGAACATGTCTCCATGTGCTGCGATGCTACGGGCAAAGGCTTCTCGTGCCGATTCCCACCCGTTACTGCTCTGCGGGCAGGATGAACTGCTGCAGCAAACTTCTGAGTTTACGATACTGTTTTAAAATTATTCACGTTTTGTTGTTGAGTTTTTATCATAAATTGAGCCCGGTCGATGTGCAGGTGGGTTTTGCTGTTGACTTTCTCCTTGTGGTAATATGCTGCTCCCATTTTTGTATTGTTTCATGTGCTTGATGTTGCCAAGTAACCAAACAAGCTTTTCATTCTGCAAGTTTTACTTCCACTTGAGTGTGGAATTAAAGCGATTTGGGATCAGTCTGTTGTTCCTTTCATTCATAGAAACCAATGCTCGCTCGCTCTTTTTATTTTACTTTGGTAAGTGGTTAAATGATCCTTATGATCTGAAGCATTATTTTATTTAAAAAAACCAGTTTAGCTTAGCTCCTTACGCCAAACATCAAGCAAAAAGGAAGAAGGGATACTTCCGTGGAATCCTATATGTGCTTAAAACTAGTTTGTTTGCTCTCCTGCAGGTACTTGGGCGATGTTTCTTGACGGTGATGCAGGTCCACTTCCAGTTCCTCTCACAAGCTCTGCAGAAAGTCCAGCCGGTGGCACACTCCTGCTTTGCTGAAGCTGTAGCTCAGGAGAGAAAGAACATTAGTGGGACTGGAGGCTCAAATTTAAGCCCCACAAGTGAGTTAGAAGATGCAATAAGATCGTGGAGAGGAGCAGCAGAGGTAAGGAGGTCCTGCTGTGGTGACAGCAGATGTAGTAAAATGCAGTTATATTCAGTGAAACTTGCATTCAGGCTTGGTGCCCTGAGAAAGGGAGAAAATACCTGATTTTAAAGACATATTTCATGTGGAGGGGGGAACATGGTGCAGTTAGTTTCAGATGCTAAAACTCATTTTCATTGTCTGGTGATTGCACTATCTTTGGTCTAGGTAAAGTTTTCTTTGAGGCAGGATTGTACATCTGGAGTGCACAAACAGTGCAAACAGATTTTTGGTTTGATAATGAATTAACAGCGTTCAAATGTGGTTTGGCAGAGGGAATTAAAAAAATTGAAAACCCAAGTCTTTATGAAAACAGAGGAAAAATAATTTGGCTAATGTTTTTCTCTTATATTTTGAGCATGAACTCTGTTTTATACTTGAAAATCCTTATGGAAACTTCTAACACATTTGTCTTCATGCTATTAAGCTTGATGTGGCTTGATCAGTCACTGTTGGAGTGTGATCTGCATTACTCACCTGTTGCCTCTCTTTGGGCCTGCACTTTCACACACACGTGCCAGCTGGGGAGTGCTTCCCTGGCCTGCCAAAAAGGGACTTTACAGATAGTTAGTTTTATGAGGTTTTTCTGCTTCCCCTTTCACTGCTGAAGTCTGCAGACTGATAGATTAGAATGGATTCACGCACCGAATCTGTGGTTTCCTTAAGTTCAGGTGACTTGGAGCATGTGCCTTGGCAGCACACACAGCCTTGTTAGTCATCTTGACTGGAAATCCTGTCAAGGTCTCCATTTATCACCTAATATCTGCAAGGTATAGGAAAACAAATTAATTTCCTTTAGGACTATGAATGTAGAGGAATTACTTGTCATTTTTACTGCAGCATAAGTTTATTTCACTGGATAAAATAAGGATTTAGGAATGCTTTAGGTGTGTTACAGGTAATTGTAACAGGTCTCATCCTGGTATAGCTGTATTCCCTTGGCATAACAGTGGTTAATTTCATGTATAATATACTTAGTTCTTTAAAACTATTGCAGTTGGTAGAAATGCCCTGTAATTTGTTTTAAGTGTGGCTAAAACAAAAGTTGGATTTGCAGGATCCAGGGCCTTTACTTTCTTTTTTACCTCCTTAACAGCCTACTTCAGCAATTTCAGGTAGTAAAACCTGTATTTTGAAATAGTTTAGTACAACTACAATGCTGATCAAATCCTGCATTAAACATACAGGAGGAGGAGTAAGGAACAAATAGAGATTCTCCCTAGTTCCGGAACAGCAATAGAAGAAAATTCTCGATTTTTATGATTGACTGAAAGAACTGATTTGAGGGATTTGTGTGGGGTATTAGGATAGCATAAGAAAAATCTGTGGTCTGTAAATGAATAAAATATATCTCTCTTATAAGTGTAGCTAGACTAATATGTAAGTCATTTGGATAGAAGGGAGATTTGAAATCACAAACTCTTTCTTACTTTTGGAGCGGAGGGCAGTCTCACAACCAGCCTCTCTGGCAGGAGAACACACTGCTGTTTCAGAATAAAGTTTATGATACTTTGTCAGTAGCTTAAAACTGTTTTTCCTCTTCAAGACTCACCCTTTGGAAATGCAGTAGTTTTGTGTGTGTCCATGAGGTGAGCAGTGTCTGCCCGAAACTCCCCAGTCTGGGCATCCTGCTTTAGAGCAAGACTCCTTCCTAGGCTGGAAAATAAGCCTCATCTGCTTGCATTCCCCTGCTCGGAGGCATAGGATTTTACAGTTAAAACTAGATATTTGGCTTTTCTTATTTCTTATGTTTCAAAGTCATATTACATGAAGCTATTTTCTTGCTGTGATAAGTTGATCTTAGTACTGTGTGGCTCTTCTCAAACTGTATCACAGTAATCACGCCTCATTTTATAAAATGCATCATCCTATGTACACGGGAGTGTTTGTGCACATGATTAAACATAACTTCTGTTTCTGTGGCAAGTAAAAACCCTTATGTTGGAGTTAGGAGTTCCTACCCTGGTAACCAGTCGTCATGTGGGCTGTGTAACAGGATCCCTGGTCTTGAGAGGGAGCTCGAATAGTCAGAGCAAACAGTGAGTCAGGTTGCTGGCCAACACCTACGTGCCATACAAATTCCCTGAGAGTTGTACTTCAAAAGTAGCAGCAGTTTCATATGTTATAATAAACAATCTCCTCTGGATCCTTTCTACCAGGTGCTGCTTCTCATGTCCTGTATAAGGTTTTAAACTGTTGGCTTTTTTGCTCTTTTGTTGAATGTAATTAAGCTTGACCTGGTTCAGTGTTGATCCTCTTTACCCTGGACTTTTGTTTTACTTTACAGGCCACATCTCGACTGCGAGAAAGAGGCTGTGATGGATGCTTGGCAGGAATTGAAGTTCAGCAACTTTTCTGCTCACAGAGTGTGGCAATCCCTGAACATCACCTCAAAGAACTAAACGTGAAAATTGACAGTGCTTTGCAGGTGGTTTTTCAAGTCTGCTGCTTTCATGTGCATGTAGTGCAGTCAGTGGGCCAAGGAGTACAGTAGGGAAGGAGTGTGTTACTGCAGAAATGTATACCACAGACAGCTCTTGAGGTATTTGAGAATGACAGCACTGGAATCTTACATGGTAAATGTGTGTATGCCATAGATCTGAGTAGGGCCAACCTGTGTTCCAGTCCCTGTCTGTGCACCCACAGTGACTGCTTGCTTGCTTACTTACTGATGTGCCAGTGCTATCTCAACTTTCTGTTTGATGTCAGGCTTACAAAGTGGCTCTGGAGAGTTTGGGCCATTGTGAATATGCAATGAAGGCTGGCTTCCACCTGAACCCAAAAGCTATTGAAGCAAGTCTTCAGGTAGGATCTGCTGTACCTGCTCCCTTTCATCTCTCCTCACCTTGAAAATAGGTGTTTAAAACAAAGAAGAAATAGGAGTCACAGTAGGATTTTCTAATGTCTTAATTTCTTCTGTTTGATCTGTTCTGTATTTCAGGGCTGTTGCAGTGAAGCTGAAGCCCAGCAAACAGGAAGGAGACAGACTCCACCTCAGCCCATTCAGTGTGAGCTGCCCACTGTACCTGTGCAGATCGGGTCCCATTTCCTCAAAGGAATCTCCTTTAATGAGTCGGCAGCAGAGAACCTGAAGCTGAAAACGGTAATAACCCCAAATCCAGCACAGGAGTGAAGCTGGGGGAAGAGAGTAGAACTCCTTAAAATGTCCAGAACTCACTCCCTGTGGAAACACAGTGTTGATAACGCTGTAGGTCCACACCTGGTTATGATAACGTTTGAACCAACGGGGCAGTTTCTGTCCAGTCTGAGAGAAACACAGGCATAGAAATCTAGGAGGTAATGAGGCTTCTGTGAACTTTTTGAAAAGAAAGGGGTTAGGTTTCAGGAAGTGCAGGGACAAGTGAGCCCTTACAGACTCCCCAGCCAGGGGAGCCTGCATTCAGAGCCTTTACCTTAGGTGCCAAAATAAGTCGGGCCCAGCCTACTGCTAAGGGAAGTGCTTCAGAAAATATTCTGTACTAAAGCTCCTTTTAATGTCTTACAGACTTTAATCAGTTTTTTTAAAGTAATTTAAAATTATGGATAAGTTACTTGTATTTTCAGTATAAACAAATGGAAAATATGTCCATTCAGGACAAGTCTGGGCAATTTTAATCATCACCTTCAGGTTTTTTAGATAAGCCCAGTTCCTTGCTTCTGGAAGAGTTGAAACAGTGCATGGCTCAAAGTGCTGCTTTGCTATTGTCTTTGCAGTGCTGTTTGCAGTTTTGATTAAACTGTTTTGCAAGAATATAAGCAAAAATACCATTAATGCTTTTGGAGGAGTTTTGTATTCCAAACAGCAGAGCTGATCTTCATGTTTCTGTTCTGCAGCTGAACTCTTCAGTTGCCCAAAACTGTTCAGAGGTTGCAGACATGGTAGTTATTTGAAAAGTGCGTAGAACAATCACGCACACACACACGGAAGCATTGGTGTTAACGTTGCTGACTGGTGTGTGGTAGGCCAGAGTGTTTACTGTGTTTTCAGCACACGATGCTGCAGCTGATCAAGGAAGCTGGGTGCCACAATGGACTGACACCGCGGGACGACTCTCCTGTTACTGAAGTACTAAACCAGGTTTGCCCTTCCACTTGGAGAGGAGCCTGCAAAACTGCTGTGCAGCTGTTGTTTGGCCAGGCTGGACTGGTAAGTCACTATGAATAGTCTTAGGGAAAAAAAAGTGACTTAAGCATCCTGAAGAGAAACTTGATATTTTAGAGTTTATAAATGAATTTGCAGTGTCTGACTTTGTGTTTCTCCATTCTTAGCACTGCAGTGAACTTGATTTCTGAGCAGGATATATTCTTGTAAAATGGAAGTCCTTGGGTGGTATCTAGGTGGTAGGAACAGAAGAATGCACTGTGTGCTTTGCAGTCTCTGTTACTAGTGAGAACACAAGAAATGAAACTTCTCATTCATGGTGAAATAGAAATATATAGGTGACCATGTTAAAAAAAACAGACAGCCCAAACACACATCCACTTCTCACTCAAGTTAGCTTCAAAAACTTCCAGTTTTTCATTTCTTCTCTGCTTTGAATGGAAACTGGATTTCCTGCCCAGCATAAACGAGGTAATGCCACTCCTGCACCAGATATTGCTACCTGACATCTCCAGCAGAGGACAGAGCAATTCGACACCTTGCTGTAGAGATATGTGTTCTTGGGGGAAAACTCCATGGATTTCACAGTATCTAAGCAGTTCTTAAAATATGCTTGGAACATATTCCAGTAAGAAAATGGATTTGTGCTCCTATAACTAATTACTGCAATCTCCTCAGTCAGTAAAGTGTTCACTCATGACAGGTTTTTTTTGACTACTCTGAGTAGGGGGCAAGCCTGCACCAGGATAGGAAGGAAATGCAAGGATAAAGGTACACTGTAGCCTCTTAGAGCTGCTGCCAAGTATTTCTTGAATTGCTTTAACCTGCAGTGAGCTAAATGCTGCTCATTGGTGCAGGTGCTGACTCCTTGTTCAGAGGGATGGCAGGCCCTCGGGACTTGGTAACTTAACTAATTTCTCATGAAAGGACTCACATAGCTCATCCTTTGTAAATGACACATTTTTTCAGACACATCACACGGCTGATAAGTGACTTAGACCTTCCACCCTGGCTATTTAAACCATTTGCTTTTGGTACTCTTAATAGGTTCTCCAATAACAGTGAATGATACATGTAAAATGATGAATTAGTCAAATATTTCTACCATAGCATTCATTTGATACAGGAAAACCAGATCTTATTTATTACCTTAATTTCAAATACTTGTGAGGGCAGAGGGTTCCAAATATACTGGAACTCAACTGCCTTTTCATATAAAGAAGGCCTAAAATCAAAGGGGCAGAACATCAATATCATAACAGCAGTGCACCTGCTGTCAGTCCTTACTTCACTGAGGTACAGGGATTTAAGGATAGGAGGTGGTGGTGCTTTGTCTAAAGAAGTTATACAGAGAGGCATAAGAGGGTGATGTCTTTGCAGAGACAGGAATCAGCTTCAGAATAGTAGGATTCATTACATTTCTACTTAGATGTTTTCAAAGAAAACATGAGTTAAATATTAATAAATACAAGGAGAGCTAGAAAAAAGGATATGGCCAAGTGGGATTGTGCCTTCAGCTGCCATAGTTCATGGTAGGATGCTGGGACTGACTAGCAAGGTACAGGGACTGAGGCCAAGAGAGAAACTGTTTCTCAGCCACCCTTGGGGAGTGCGTTAACTCAGGAGGAGTTCTTGGCTCCCAAGTGTCTGGGTGAGGAATGCCTAGGAGGATGCTGCACCTTCACCATTTCCTTTCCAGGGGGTTTCAGCACTGTGCACACCTAAGTCCTGCTCTGATGAGATCTGAGGAGTGCCTGAGGCACATTTGGACTGAGGAGTCTGGAAATCTGGTGTCCCCCAGTCTAGACATAACTAGTTAGACCTGCTGGTAATTGAAGCACTGACATTCTCCAGGTTTGTCATCACCTTTGGAGAGTGTCAGCACAAAATTTACTTGCACATTCTTCAAATGACAGTGCTGATGTAGGGAGTATTACTTACGCTGAATCCTGAATGTCTCCAAGGATTTTTGCATTAACCTCAGGTTCTGCAAATAGCAGATTTCACTCTTCAAAGCCACAGGCATGAGCTCTGCACACGACAGAACACTTCAAGCCTTCTCTCTTTCATTCATTCTTGTTTTGATTCGTTACAGTTTAGAAAGATGTGAGGGTTGAGGTTTTTCTTTATAAACTATGTGCCGTAATTTTTTCCAACATCCAATTATGCTTGTCTGCAGCCTCATGCAATGACAAGAAATTGCAGCTTGTGTCCTTAAAGCTTTCTTTGGGTGGAAGTGAGAGAGGAAGCACCTGTACACCAAGAACAATAGATGTCTGAGGTACAGGAAGCTGTCCTGTAAGCACCAGCAGGCAGGGAGGGACAATGTGTATATTTCTAGTTTGCTTTGTGAAGAACACAGATAGATAAATCATGGGACAGTGTTACACAGTCCTTGGTTTGCCACTGTTAGATACTGAGCTGTCTGTGTTTGCTCAGAATTGTGTGTAAATCTGTCACTTAAATGCCAAATTTAAACAAGAACATTACTGAGTCTCGCTGCCTTTACCCTACCTTGCCATGTGCCTTTTAAGAAGTGACTCATTAAGCATGGAAAGCACACTGGGATGTGACTTAGTTTGGTTATTTTGGGCTTCAGCTTTTTAACATAGGGAATAATTTGAAGTGTGGATTTTCAGTTTTTTACCTTGGCATATATGTTAAGAATTGTATTTTAAGATTTGCATCAGCTGAAGAAATCCACCTGTTTGAGTAAAAATAATGTGTATGAAAGTAGTTGAATTCGGAGGATGAATGGAAATAAAACTTCTAATTGGCCTCATGCAATGAAGTTAACAGTTAAAACTCTTATTTTTGTGCTAGTAGATCTTTCCGTAGCAAAACCCAACATGCATTGCAGGAGCACTAAATCTAGTAGTGTTTAAATCCAGATGTCCTGACTGACCAAATGTTGAGAAATGTATGTGTTTGTTTAAAGGGAAGAAAGGAAGGTATGTCTAGGGGCAGGAACACTCCACCAAAGCCCAGCTCATGGGCACTATCATGCACCAACACCAGCAGCTGACTCAGGTCTGCCAAAACCAGACCTGGGAGTCAGAGTTAGTACTCTGAGATGCTGACTGTTTTTCTTGGGAGCTAAGAACAATCACTCCTAACTTCACTTCTCCTTACCACAATTGTAATTGCAACAGAGCTGAACTGCAGATTCATGAAATGTACAAGGAGAGAGCTATGGGGTTGCCCTATTAAGCCATGAGAAGTATTTTCATGAGTGGATAATAGTGGGGGGTTTTCTCACCTTGCTTAGACACGTTTGGCAAGGTTGAATAAACTTGGGCAAATGCTTAGAGTCAACTGAAGGAAAACAAAGGCCTTATGCTAAAATGTCTGAAAGGCTGGAATTATATTCAAGTGTCCTTGGATGGTTTTGTTAAAACAGGAGAGGAGACTCTCAGCACTATTCCTGTTTCACACTTTTTCATAGCAGCAATAGACAACCAGTTAGAAGCAGAACCAGTGTAGGCTGGATGACTGCAAAAAAAGTCAGTAATATCCCTTGAGGCTTATTTATACCAGAGGACTTTTGCCATTTCAAGGATAAATGGTACAGCTAATCTGCTAGTCACTGAAGCAAGAACTGCTGATGCTGGCAAAAAGCTGCTGGTTCAGCATGACCAAAATAGGAAATTATGGAAATGATCAAAAAGGCCAACCCATGTAGACTGGACAACAAACAGAAAGCACAAACCAAATATGGAACTCACTATCACTGGTATTAAAGGTTAAATGAAGCTGAAGTGAATCCATTCCTTCTCCATTCTGTACAAAGAAAGGTTCAGGACTTTTCAAGGCTTTTTTCTTCCATTTATCTTCATAATGTCTTACAGACTGCTCAGAACTCAGCAAATTGGACAGCCACTTTTCTTCTCTTTATATAATCAGGGATTAATAGTACAGTTTCATTGGGCAGAATGGAGGAATGTTGGTGTGGAGTTTTATAACCTTAAAGGGGCAGTGTGTTAGGAATTGTGAGCCATGTGAAGAGTTTTCAACTGAATACTGCTTGTCTATATCATAGCATGCACTGCAGTTAAATGATTTAAAATACTTTGCTAAATAAGTGTGTAGGAGCTGTTGAAGTAGTAACAGTGCTAAACCCCTCAAATGTAAAAGCTGTTGTATGGAGCCGCCAACTACCAGTTGTGAGGTAAAGCAGTTGGGAGCTGTGGTGATGCATGATTGCAGTATGTAACTGAGAGCAATTAAGTCCTTATAAGTTACTGTACCAAACTAATATGATATTATTTTAAACATAGATCTTAAAATACAAATACACTTACAATGATTTTGTGATTTGGTTTGTTTTCATTTGGTTATTTTTTTGTACCTGTAGCATGGCTAGGAGGTGAGACTATTGCATCTTAATCATAGGGGTGATAAATAACTAGAACTGATTCTTAAAATCATTTCCCTTTTATTTTCATGTTATTTGCTAGGTGGTTGTGGACACGGCACAGATTGAAAATAAAGAAGCCTATGCTCCTCAGATAAGTTTAGAAGGATCAAGAATTGTGGTGCAAGTTCCATCAACTTGGTAAATAAAAGTACTATATTGCAGATTATGGCTGAAATAGATGGGGAAAACATTGCAGTACAAATGAAAGGGGGAATTCTACACAGTTGTGGCACAACTTCCTTAAGTTCTTTGATCTGTAATTGTTTGCCCACCAGCATCCCTAACTGCTGCGCTTTAGCTGCCTCCGTAGAAGGCACTGACATTGCTTTTAAAGGGGAAGGAAAAGCTTGATGATGAAAGAGACGATTTAAAATACAAAAATCTGACAGTATTCCTGTTGTGCTCCTCCCTGGCAGGTCCTCACAGTTGTTAGCTCAGGAAGGCGAGGAGTTAGCTGAGGTTAGCGTGAGACCCTTGGCTCTCCAGTCACTGGGCTCTTCTTTCAGCGCTGCCGTGCACCCAGAACTCTGGGCTCCCACAGACTATTCCTGCCGGTGTAACTGACTGCCTAGGAAAGAACGGCAGGGTTAATCTGAAGTGAGGATTTCTTCCCGTTCAAAGCAATGATTTGAAATTGGAACACTTCCATTTTCACTTCGGAGTACGTCATTGTTAGGAGTTTCATTATAACACAGTTCATTGACCTGGGTCCTTAACGAGCAGCCTGTTCCTGGCGGTACCAGTGGCATTCCCAGGAGCAAGAGTCGGTGCTGGTGTCCCTGCACAGCCTGTGTGCAGGGGCTCCCCGTACCCGTCCCTTCCCCCTGTCCCCGTCCC